AACAAAATTTTTGTTTTGGACCTGGGTATAATTATCAAATATCCATGCTGTTTGCAAGAGCATGGAGGGACAAGATAAGCCATTACTTGCGTACTATAAAGTTCAATATCATCAAGGCGGAATCAAAATCATCAAAACAAGGGCAATGGCTACTTATTATCATATCATGCAAGGCCCACAAATCTTCATCATCATGGACAAGATATGACTTCCAACAATGAACTTTAAAATTCTAGGGGAAAGGAAGATTCACCTCAAACTTGGAATTTTGGATACCCAGTATCCAACCGTGAAGGCCACTGCGTGAAATGCTATAACTGGAAAAATCAATCGGAATCCCTCTGCAGACAGAATTTGGCTCCGATTAATTGCAAGAGGACTGCCAATGCACAATGAAGTGCAAATCATAGCAACAACTGGCATCACTGGTCCAAGGAAATTGACAACTGGTTTTGCATAAGTATTGAGCACAAGGCCAATGGTTACTGGAACAAGAACCACCTAATAGGTAAAATAAGAATGTCAAAGAAATGCATAATAAGCATAATAGAGGCAGAAGCTAAAACGCCTGCATTACTGAACTCCCAATTACCTGCAATATTGACTTTGACATGGCAACAGCATCGACTGGAACAACAGAACCAATTAAAAGGCCACTTAGTAGAGGCGTAACAATCACTGAGGCAATGGTGGTGGTGCTGGTGAGGAGAATGCTCAAGGCCACATCTCCTTTGCTCAAAAAACTAGCATAGCTAGATAGCTGAGCCCCTGCAACACAAGTGGTGAGGACAAAGCCAGCGTAGAAAATCCTAGACACGCCAAATGCCTTTGCAATCAGTACCCCGAGAACCGGTTTCAACATATACTGTGCCATAAACCCAATAGAGAGCGGTAAAGGTCTGCAATAGATGAGAAGTAAAGAATATTGGGACAGCTCACTCAAACTCTTACAAGCAGACTAGAATAATGACAGTAAGAAGAATATATACATAATGGTGAATAAAGATATTACCTTTTGAATGCAAGAGCAAAATCATCAATGGAAAGTTTGATTCCAATAGAGAGCATGATCCCACCAAGAGCAGGGGCATATAAATCCTTAGATACCCTGTATTAACTTTGAATTAATACATTGCTGAGCTGATGTAAAACTTGAGAAAATACAGTCTGTTTGGCATGTAATCTGCTGAAAAAATTGAAAAAAAATCTTCAAGTAGAAAAACTAGGTACCCAGAGTCCCTCTGGTGCCTAAAATCAAACACATGCAAGCAGTCCCAGCTCCTAACTTTTATGTTTTGAAAACCACACAGGTAAAGCTTCAGAAATTGAGAGTTAAATGAAATGATGGATTATAGAAAATGATACAACATTAACATATACAAAAGGGTATCCAAAAATAGTATTAATTTATAAAGTTAATCCCTCAGAACTCCTTGCTAAGCAAAAAAAGAATATTTCTCTATCCATATATCTAAAATAATCCAACTTGGACTTGCAAGAAACAACAAAAACAGAATCCCAGTGCTTAATTCCCCAAGAATTCGACATGCAAAAGCATTGAAAAGGTAATAACAATTCAAGAAAACAAGACCCACCAAGTGAACGTTGAAGGCTGAGCCAGAGCAGCAACAGCAGTAGCAGCAACAACAAAGGGAAGCATTGCCGACAAGAGCTGAGACGAGTCATCGCTACTCTGCGCACCCTCTTTGGAAATTTCAGCTGATGGGTTAGTTCCAAAAGACAGCAACGAAGAGTTGCCTTCTCTCCATTGTGACCCGACTCTCCCTATATAAGGCGACGTAGAGCAAGCTTTTATCCACAGACCAACCCCATTTTTCAATACCCTTTTGGGAAACGAACAGGAAGAAGATGAAGAAGAAAAGGAAGACCTCGGTGTGTAAGAATTTCGTTTTGTGAAGAGCTTTGAGGTTGTGGTGTGAGGTGTCAGAGAAAGGAAGGGTATTGAGGTCATTGAGTAGCAGATGGAAGTGGTGGACATGGCAGGTGGGTTCGGTGGTTAAAGGGGGGAGGGGTTCTTTCGCCGGAGAACGGTGGTTTCCGGCTAGGATTTAGAGAAGGAAGGAAAAGGAGAGGTGGTGGTGAGCGTAAACGTGAAGGAGATGAAGTGATAGATTGAGTGATTTTTATAGGTTATAGAATTGATTGATTTATTTTATTTGCAAAAAATCAGAGAGAGAAGGAAAGGGAAGGGGCTGTTTTGGTGCGGGTTAGTTATATGGGTCGCTGGAATTTGTGAACTGGGTCAATGGGCGCGCTTGGATCGCAGAAATGGACGGTAATGATGAGATTAACGTGGCAGATGTATAAATTGTATTTGATCTTGCTTAAATGTCCCTGGTTTACTGTATATTTCCCGCTTAACGTGGCAGGAGACGAAGTCGCATTTGATTTTGCAGACATGTCCTCGGTTTATTGTATGTTTTTCGGACCACAAAACCTTCTTTACATTTTCCGGTTGAGGACCCCATGTTTTATTGTTTTGTGAGCATCGGCCTATGTCTCTCTCAACTACGATGATTACAAACAAACAAAATAAATAAATAAAAATAAAACTACGGTGAAGAATAAGCCTGCACAAAAATGATTCGATGCTAAAGAATAATCCTATATGAGCTGAGTAATGCTTGTTAATTTGTGAGTAATTGTACATATTCGATTTTTTTTTTCTTTATAAAGTTATGTATTTTTGTGTTTTTAGCAATTGGTTAAGAGCGTGTACTCATGTCTTGTGTTCAAATTTCCCTTTTTAAGATCGTTTGTGTTTTATGAGAAAATAATTGTTGTGTGCGTGATTTGCCAGTGTAAAAACCCTAAAACCCGTTGATGGATATGAAATGAAATCTTTTTCTTATGTTGGTTATAATTGGTAGGGGAGTTCTGGAAAATCATGAAACTAGATAGAAAAGATTGGTAATAAAAGGGAAAGGCAAGCACCAGTGCTCAAACAAAACCACCACTGGACACTGGAACAGATCTTCTGAAGATGGACAGAAAGCCATGCAAATGGGACAACGGCCTTAAACACAGCTGTTGAGAGTTCTCTGTGATCACTGTGATCAAGGCCCTGCATGTGCATGCATGGAAACTAACTCTGCCGCGTTTGGCTTTGTTTCTCTCCCAAGTTTGTTCCTTCTGAAAGCTCAAACGCCACCAATCACGAGAGTTTGTGATGGATGGAGCCAAGCACAGAAAAGAAGGCACTACCTCCTCTCGTCACTATTTATGATGTTGACTTTGATTTTTAATATGATAAGATCAAAATATCTCAATGCAACTATTCTCACTTGCTGGTTTGAGAAATGGGGAAGGAGCTGAACCTCAAAGTGTCAATCAAAACAAGGATAATTTGCAATTCCTTCATTTAATTCCCAACAAAAAACTATTGGGTTGAATTGGGTTGCCATCAAATTGATTGGGATAATTTTAAATAAATAAATAAATTGATTTGGGCTACAAATCTCTCATCCTATATGGGTTTGGAAATTGGAATATAGATATGTACAAGGACAACATGAATGTTGATAGAAACCACACACATGGATGGTACCACTACATGTGGGGATGTCCATGGCCTGCCCCAAAAATGCTTATAATTCCATGCAATCATCTTCTTTCTTTCCCTTTCTATTTTATGAAGCAGTGGATTGAGAACAAATAATTACTTCCATTTTGTTTCTGGGCCAAGACTTGGGTCCTTTGGGGATTGGGTGGGTGTGCAGTCAATTGAGAACAACATGTTGTTTGATTTTGTTATTGGGCCTTGACTTGGATGGCCCACAGAATAAAAACCTAAGACATCGCCCGTGCATTGGTTATTTTTGTTCGTGGTTACATGTGGGTCTTACAATGAGACTTACATGCATCAACGGTCAAAAACAAGTCACACACGAACCCACTGTGGCTCTAACATTTTCCCATCATCAGCATTAAATCATTAAGAATTTACTAAACCCTAGAGCCTAGGGGAGAGTTTAACAGAGCCAAGTGAGAAAGTGGGCTCCTCAAAGGAAATAATCAAGAACAATGAGAAAGATACTACCAAACACGGGATGTAATCGGCTCCTTTATGGTTGATTTGATGACATGATTGAAAATCTTTGAGCAAAGTTGGGCAAGAAAGAAAAAAAGCCTGAAATTTCCTATTTCAAATGCAAAATACAGACAAATTTCATGTGCCCAAGCATGTGCTGACAGAAGGCCTTTGGTTTGGAGAAATACTGACATGAAACGGGGATAACACTATTTGCTATCCCGGTCAATCACGGTATGTCACGAGTGATAACTTTTCCATGCGGCAGATTGTGATTGGCCGAGAATAAGTTATCCCCATTTCATACAAGTTTTTCTGTTTGGTGTGACCAGTCTTGAGAGAGTGGTCCAGTGCACATGACTTCAGACTGAAGTTTAGGCAAATTCCAATCAAAATAATGCCACCA